TTCACAGGAATATGTGTTCTTGATCTTATAACTCACTTGGTTAGGTCCAATAATGGTATCAGCAGAGTGAATACGTGGACAAAGCTGGCAACGAGGTTTGTTGCAAGGGAAGGTACCAGGGTTGGTATTAGTGTGGTATGACCTGTGGTTGTTGGTAAGAATCATCTTGTAGGTGGTTGTCTATAGGAGACTATGGGTCTGTTTCCCAGAGCCTCTTGGAGTTTAGTGTCCTGTTCCAGATTTGTCCTTTTCATATGTGTTCATTTTTTTTAACTGTATCCTTTGGTATATATGGCTGTGACAATTTTCTTCCACTATTTGATCTGAGGAAGTGGGTCTGGCCCACGAAAGCTCATCATCTAATAAACCATCTTGTTAGTCTTTAAAGTCCTGTATTTTGTTTCAGCTACACCAGACTAAAATGGCTACATTTCTATGACTAGGCATAAACTGAGCTTCTCCGGGGAAGGTTTGCCGAAGACATCTCCTTCCCTACCTGCTCCAAGGCCTGAAAGCCACGCAGGGCTCACACATTCTTGGGAATACGCTCACATCTCGGAGGCTGGGGAGTGGGCAGAGGCAGAGGACATGACCCATTAAAGGCAGAGTCCTTTAGCATTCCACCTGCATATTGTGCCCCATAAGCAAATCCCTGAGCAGCACACGCAGGCTACGGCTACACTGATGGTTTTTTTGCGGAAGAGGATATGCAAATCGCACTCGCATTTGCATATCTTCTTCCGATTCTTTCTGCGGAAGAGGTTTGGCCGATAAAAAGCCCCATGTAGATGGGCCCATTTGTCGGAAAAAAACCCCTCTTTCACAAGATCCCTTATTCCGCAAAAATCGAGGTTTACAGGATCTTGCAAGGGGGGAAGGGATTTTTCAGTAAATGGCCTCGTTTACCCAGGGCTTTTTATCAACAAAACCTCTTCCGCAAAAAGAATTGGAAAGAGAGATGCAAATACGAGCACGATTTGCATATCCTGTTCCCCAAAAAATGGCAGCGTAGCTGTGGCCTCAGTGCCCAGCCCTTCCCTAGACAGACCGACCCACACGTGGAACCAGATAATAAATCCATCATTTATATACATACGCACACACTTCTAGAAGGCTTAGAAAGACCTAACCGTACATCCCAGGGAGGTGCGTGTTATAAAGAGGTATTTATAATGAGTTCTGAAGAGCCAGGAGCCAAGACACACAGCAGTAGCCTTATATCAGAGGCAGACTTACAACAGTCGGCTTCGGTACCAAGGCGCCGGATAAAACTATGCCAGGGGAGCAGGGGGCAGAGAGGAGGCCGGAGAATAGAAAGGACCAAGTAGAACTAGCATCCTTCTGGGTCAGCTTCATGCGTCTGGGTTTGTTAACATTATGCTTGGGCTCGCTGGCTCGGAAAGGCTGCCTGCCCAGTGCGCACACAGCTCAGAGAACACTCGATGACTGAGCAGGTGCCGAACCGGCGGCCGTGACAGCGATCGCTATCGTACCCAAGGGCATCGGGAAACACACGGGGCTCCGCCGCTGGCAAGAACGGGTTAGCGGGATGGAAGCAGCGAGTCCTGGGTCAGCCCAGCTGGGGGGCACAGCGCAACCCAGCGGCAGGCCGAGGAGGAAGCCAAAAGAGCTCGGGGAAGCATCGTGGGCACTGCTGGTTCTGTCTGTCGGAGGGGGCGGGGGCTCCGTGGGCCCCACAGAGAACGATGGGAGTCGGGCGACCACTGTGTCCAGGGTGAACCAGAATGATCCTCCACGCTGCTCAGAGGCAGAGGGTTGTGGCCCCGGCAAGGGGAGGAAGGGCAGTGCTGGTGCAGATGGGAGCTCTCTCCTGATCTTTTTTAAAGCCCAGCGGAGATCTCCAGGCAGGCAGACCTCGCACTGTAGTGGCAAAGGCCTCCCTTGATTAGAACCTCTCTGGAGACGCCTCCGCCTGCGCTACTGGGCTAGGGAGGGAGAAAGCGCTGGGGCCGGGAGGGGAAACCAGGATCCTCGCTAACAGCAGCCACCTGTTCCACCTTCTCCAGGGGGGCAGACACCCCATGGGGGGGGGGGAAATCAAGCAGCTAGTGTGTAGCCAGACCTTCCAATCCATCGAGGAGCCCCTCTCCTCCGCCAGCCCCCCGCTAACGCCCACCCAGCAGTTGGCTCAACGCACGTCAAGTGATTTTGTATCACAGAATCACTCCCCCCGCCCCCCAAAACAAACCAAGGGCTCTGACCTGCCCCAGCAGTCGCCCCCGGGCTCCGTCCACACTCCACACACGTTTCTTTTAAAACTTTTATTCAATAATATAGAATTCCTTTCATTATAATATAGAACTGTCCATCATGCCGGATTTCCCCCCGCTGCCCCCTCCCTGCCGGGTCAGGGCTGGAGCCAGCTAGTTAATACGTTGCGCCGGGGTTCAGAGGGGGCAAAGGTCAGCATGGGGGCGGGAGGGCAACACTAGCCAACAACCGTTTTGCATACCCTTCACATTTTCCATGCTTTCTGGGTCAGGAAGAGGTCAACGGGAAGTCAAAGGCAGAGGAGCCATTTACATTCAGAAGTAAGATTTGTGTTTATAAACTGGTGGGTGCCCCGGAGCCGGCGTGGTCCCGGGCCTCTTCGCCTGCCCCCGCAACGCCGTCCGACCGCCAGCTCTGTACACACGCTGATAAGACGTTGGATTTGGTTCTTGTTCTGCTTATGGAAAATTGGGAGGAACAGCAGCGGACCTAGGGAGAGACGGGAGGGAAGCGAGCGTCAGACGCGAGCGGCGGTGGATCCCCCTGCGTTGCCAGCACCTCTCTCCTCCTTTGGCGCCTCGCGGAGGGAACGCCAGGCCAAGGGGACAGAGGCCACTTCTCCCCCTTCCCCCACAGCCTGGTTCGGGCACGTCAGAACCGTTGTGGCTCGTTTGCCCTAGTTGTAAAGGGGCTAAAGCCGACCCAGGTGGGGGGGGAAGGTCTATGTGGTGTATGTAGAGTGCTCTGAAGAGATAGGAGAGCTAAATTATTATTGCATGAAAGCAAGTGAATCAAAAATCTGTTTCTCCCATACTTGAGGTTTGCCGTGCCCGCCCCCCATGGTAACTTTTAGTGGGAGCAGGTAAGTCTCTCCAGGACCCCAACGTATCTTCCCCCACCCCCAAACTCGTATACCTGCATCTCCCCTCCCTGCGCACTGGGTCCCCTGCACTACCAGGCCCCACCATCTCAATTGCGTGTCTGGCCGGGGGAAGGGGGTGGGGTCTTGGTGCAAATGGGGGCGCTCTCCTTATCTTTTTAAAAGTGCAGCCGAGATCACCAGGCAGGCTGGCCTTGCACTGTCGTGGCAAAGGCCTCCCTTGATTAGGGCCTCTCTGCAGAGGCCTCTACCTCTCCACACGCGCCGCTGGGGTAGGGAGGGAGAAAGCGTTAGGGCTTATCCTGGCTCCGCAGTGGTGGAAGGGAAACCAGGATCCTCGCTAACGGTGGCAACCTGTCTCACCTTCTCCACAGGGGCAGACACCAGGCTGGCCTTGCACTGTCGTGGCAAAGGCCTCCCTTGATTAGGGCCTCTCTGCAGAGGCCTCTACCTCTCCACACGCGCCGCTGGGGTAGGGAGGGAGAAAGCGTTAGGGCTTATCCTGGCTCCGCAGTGGTGGAAGGGAAACCAGGATCCTCGCTAACGGTGGCAACCTGTCTCACCTTCTCCACAGGGGCAGACACCCCGTGGAGCCAGGCCTCCAAAGGAGCTTGACACAGAGGGGAAGATCCTAGGGCCAAGGAGATCTGTGATCCATCAACTACTCGATTAGGGGTGTGACATTTCGATTCGTCTCCACCCATCCCTACGGACGGGACCTTTTTAAACAGGTTGGGGTTGAATGCTCAATGCAGACAACTTGGAATTAGCGCAGCTTGGAGGCTAAGAAGCCAGCCACACGTCAGGGAACGCCCAAGCTTACGGTTCCACCCCAATGCGAACGGCCTCCCGTTAGGTCTAATGGGCACAGACCGGAGGTTCCCAAGCCGGTTTTGCTCAGCTGCCCTCGGGAGACCCCTGTCTCACACCTGCCTCTTCTCTCTCAGCAAGCGGGGGGAGATGCCTGCGGGCACTCGCCAAGAGGAACCCACCTACTTCGGTGAAGGCCCAGCAGCCTTAGAGCCCCTTGCCTGTCTCACTCCCCCACCGTGCAGGGAAAGCGAACAGGGCCGGGGGCAGCAAGGAGGTGGAAAGCTGCTCCCCGGGAGTACTGGCCCCAGCCCTTCATGTGCAGCCACGTCCACTGCCCGTGCCCAGGCTGTCCCCCCCAGGGGAGTGGATGGGGCTCCGTGCTCTGAGGCCACACTGCAGAGAGGGCTCTGCCAGTACCCACAGGGCCCAGCGTTTATCTCCTTGCTCACGGACTCCCCACCAGCCTTCCCAGAAGAGGAAGGGACCTGCCCGGCCCTGTGAAGTGGGGGAGCGAGACAGGCAGGGAGCTTGTTTCTGGCAACTGAAATATCTGCAGAGCCCCGGCCACTTCCCCCGCCAGACAGAGCCTCCTCTTGCTCCTGGGTCCTCCAGCCCAACCCCAGCAGCGCTCCCGCCCCCGCCAGCTAACCCTCGATGTGCCCCATGCCCTGAGAGCTTCCAGTACACACCACGGACTCTCAGACTGGGGGGGCAACACATCAGGCAATCGCTCATTCCATCTGTCTGAGAAGTGGGGGGAATGGGTCCCAGGCAGGGGAGAGAGGCCATCCCAGAACGGCAGTGAAGAGCCATTAGTACAGGTTCGAACTATCAGTATGTAACTTACACCCCGGCCGCTGCATTAGGGCTGGTCCTTACGTTTCTTGCTGTAGTGCTGGGACACCAGCACGTCCTCCCTAGGGAACATTCTGCGCATCCCCACCGAGGAAGGGTGGGTGCATGCGAGAGATCGAAGCTGAACATGCAGGCTAAGAATCTGGGACGTTTCAGGGAGACACACACGCCTGGCTTTCACACCTCAACTCTCTCTGCAGAACAACTCTAGAAAACAACCCGCTTTGAAGCGTCAACGGGGAGGGCAAGTCTCTAGCGCCATAAAACAGCTGCAGCTGGCACTGCCTGGGCTCTGGGCGTGAAAATTGCAGGGCCGATGCTCAGGCTGGCGCTTGGGTTCTCAGACCTTTCCTCATCCCAGGGTCCTGGAGCGCAGGTTTCTGGCTCAAGCCAGAATGTTCACGCTGCAATTTCCAAGGTCCACGGCCTGAGTCAGCAGGCAGGGGCCAGCCGCACGTGTTTTATTGCTGCACAGACACACCCTGAGCAACTGGCAAGCACAAAGTTTATTCCCTGGGCATAGGAGACTCCCTTTGAACTCAACAGCAGTTGAAGTGATTTTGCGGAGACTGCCACAGAATTCCACCTTTGGGCTAGGACCGAGCATGAAAAGGATCAGGTCAAAAGAAGCTGGGGAAAGCAAGTTCTAATAAAAAGGACATTGGAAGAGAAGTGAGAACTCAACCCTAACTACAGGAGGCAGCTGCTCTAAGTTTCTGCACATCACCAGAGACTAGAAGACACCAGACATTCATACGTATAGATATTTATTGGTTTCAGTGAATTATACAAATGGATTTGACCTGCTATCAATGCCAATATAACTTTATTGGAATATGGAATGTAAACAGATGTTTCAAATAGAAACATTCTAACCTTATATTATTAAAAAAAAAAATTAAATATTTGACAATGCAGGAGAAGGAAATTCAGTGTTTAGGTGCTGGTGGCAACACACTCTCTCTGGTTTCTAGGTTTAGGAGGTTGCTAGGACTGCTGGATGAAGTGACACACAGAACAAACAGGAGGCAGCTGTGAGTTGTGGGGCTAGAAAGCTATCAAGGGATCGGATGAAGAGCCACAAGAACCCCCCCTCCCCCCCCACCGACAGACTCTTAGCCCCAGAATTCAGCCTGCGGCTGATTGTTAACACACGACGTGGACCCAAGCTCCAGATCAGTAGTTACACAGTCACCCCAAAAGCTCTACTCCCACCAACGCTTCCGGATCCCCCCCAAACGCGCCTACTGCCTTTCCTCACCGCTGCCCCATCCTGCTCTTCGTTCAGTGGTGCTGGATTGAAACATTCTGGAATTGTATCTCCCCTGGCCTGAGTTATGACAGGGGAGCCATGTGACCGTTACATGGGTCTTTCTACAGGCAGGAGCAGCTTGCCCAAGGTCCGGGGGAAAGGATTTTGCCTGCTCCAGCGAAAGCCCCTTGCCTTCCCAGTCAGGACTTCCCGTAACAGGCTTATCACATTTCTCCCCAACGGGACCTTTTCCGAACACACCTGCAGGGGGCGTCCCGCTCTCCGAACAACTCAGAAGGTGGGTGTTGGTTTGAATGAGCCAAACCAACCCCGGGACACTCGTCTGCTGAAACCAAAACGAAAGGGCCCAGCTCAGAGCTGGAGTGGGGAGGTGCGACTCGGATCCCCGAGTCCCATCTGCTCACACCCGGTCGGACTGCGGCCCCGAGCGTTCGCAGTTCCAAAGGGCTTATTACTGCAGACGCACGCTGCGGTCCACGGATGGACGGGCAGGCCTGCCCCATCAGCCCGGCAGGAAACGGCTCGGCTAGGAAGGAAGGGGAGGCACCATGGAATCGTGAACAAGGATCAGTGGGTCTCTCGCAAGCCACTAGCCCCGGGCGTTGGCGTCACGGGTTGAGTTACATTATCCACAACCACCAAAGAGGAACACGGAGGCGTCAGCCCTCCAAAGCTTAGATTTCTGCCGAGTATAAACGGGGGAGGGGGTCTTGGTTATTCCCTTCCCTGTGTGACTGAAGGGTTTGTTTTTATTTGTAAACATCTTGAATTACCCGTTGTTTTCCAGTCTTCATCGTGCTGCTGTGAGGCCACTGGAGAGCACAGCGTTTTCTGAGCTGGGTTGGGACTGCTCCTTCACCACGGGATCTGCAAGAGACACCAGCATCAGCCAAGCCATTTCAAAGCTTCGCTTTTGTGATGGCTTAGGTCCTGCCAAGGAACTCTCTTAAGCCTCTAGAAGGCTCTGGAGAACCTGGAATTCTGGCTAGGAATAGGAGAGCGATATCCCTCGTAAGGCACCGACTGGACAAGCCGCCTCCCGCCCGATCCACAAACCCGTCTTTCCTTTCCGAGCCCAGCAGCGCGGCTCCACCCCCAGGACTCACAGAAATACGGGTGCTCCATAGCCTCTTTGGCAGTCAGTCTCTGTTGATGGTCGTATCGCAGAAGTTTGTCCAGAAGATCCAAGACTTCTGGGCTGACCAGGTGTCTGTTCTCGCTATGGATGAAGTTCTCCCAGCGTTTTCGTGAATGCCTGTAGCAGAGGGAGGTCTCTCAGAGCACCGACCCATCCCCAAGCGGCACAGCAGATCCTAGGAGGCTTTCCCTATCACACCCCATATACGGCTGGAAAGGGCAGCGCCGGAGCAGGAATTAGCGCAACCTACCTACCAACCGTCTCTACGTGGCCAGAACCCAGCATTTCACTAGGGACACCCAACAAGAGCAAGGCCTCTCAAGCCTTTTCCTTTACAACCCAGCCTGCTTGGCTTTTGGCCACGCTGGGCTCAAACAACGTGGTCTCTCTCTCAACGTAAGGCTCGCTTCCACCTGCTCTCTATGAGCAGCATTACCGCGGCCCTTGGCCATCACGGGCTCCCATCGATAAAAGACATGAATTCCAAGCATCAAGGGCGATCACTCGGATCTGTAGCCTGCAACGCGCAGGAAGTTAGATGATCAGGACGGCCCCTCCTGGCCGCAAAGCCTGTGAGATACAAGGGCTTCAAAGCCAGGGGCATACTGGTGAGAAGGTCTTTAGTTCATCAGCCAGCCTTGAAAAACTCTACCTGCCACCCCAGCCAAAGTGGGTCATTTTACTCCGACAGACCAGCAAGCCCATTGTCAAGACTTTCAGCCCTGGTCCTCCCACTAATTTTACGGGCAGAGGTGCGATTCAATCGCTTGCCCTGCTTGGAACATAATCAGGCCTGTTTCTCGTTATCCTCAGTGGTCACGGGAAAGGATAGGCAAGCAGACCCAGGTCTGGGCTGGTGTATGTGTGACAATTTTGCAAGGCCGAAAGCAGGAAGGCAAAGCCAGGTCTGGGCTCGAAGGAAAGTAGAGATCACCCTCTGTGAGGTCAGGAACCGAGCTCCCCTCCCAGTCAGACGGCTGGTGGCCTGGAGTGGGCAAGTGGGAGGTGGAGGGGGTCACTTATTAGGATTTCCCTGCCATTGCAGGGGCCATGAGCACTGGTACATTTTGGTCCCCCCTGCCTTTTCTGTCTGTGGCACGTGGTCTCGTCTCCAGGGGCTGGGAACTTTGTGGTTTCAGTTGGGGCTGTTGGGGCTAGCCCATGGGCCCTGGTGGCCTGTGATGGGCAGGTCACACTAGATGATCTGACAGCCCTTTCTGGCCTCAAACTGCCCGACTGACTAAGGTAGCACCCCCTCCCCCCAACTCCTTTCAGTCATTTTGCTGGCAGTGCGAGGAATGAGAAAGGTCGCCCCGAACTATAAACCTAGACGAGCTCTCGGCACCTGGGGGAAGAAGAGAACTGAATCCCACGAAAATCTAGTGGCCTGTCAAGACGGTGAGGGGACAGAGAAGGCCCAGACACACCCGTAGCTAGGCAAGAGGCCGGCAGGTGACCCTGCAGTCCAGGCAAGCTAAAGCTGCACTTGTGCTTTGGAGTCGCTTGTGGATAGCGGCTTATGGCCCCTTTCCTCTGATGGAAAAGACACTTTCTGCCTCCCGCCGCCCTTACTTACTGCCCCAGGATGTCGTTGAAGTGCGGGTCCAGTTCTATGTGGTACTTCTTCAGATACCCGTACAGTTCATCTGTGCCCAGCACCTTCGCAATGCGCACCAGCTGAAAGAAGAGCCAGATTTGCAGATGCGTCTAGAGAAAGGCCGGTGACGGTCTGGTCTGTTAGCACCTGGGAGCCCAAGGCTAGGAGCCCAGCATGGGGAAACCCTGAGGACCAACGTGATTCTCCAGCACCTCAACCATCTGAGCCACGTGTCATGGGGCCTTCCACAAGGGCCACGCTTCCCGCCACACACTCTCGCGTTCATCCAGAGGGAAATGCCACAACTGCGGCACTTGGAGCCATCGTAAAACTGCAGAATTCCCCAGGATGGTCACTTCAATCCAACACCTCACCAATCAGGTAGCCCCGCCCACAAACCTCCCCCACAACCCAAGAGAAGAGGGGAACCCCAATTCCCCTTTTTGGAGTCAGACAACATCTCACCTGGTCATAGTTGTCCTGGCCATGGAAGAAGGGCTCCTTTCGGAAGATCATGCTAGCCAGCATGCAGCCTAAACTCCACATGTCCAAGCTATAGTCGTACATCTGACAGGAAAAGAAGAAACAATCCAACGGGGGGAAAGGCCACACTTCCCGCAGGCCCAAGACCCCAACTCAAAGGCGGCTCCCTGCTTTCCAGCTTCCTAGCAAATGTAGTAAGATGAAGGCCTAAAAACATACGTCCACATAACACAGTCCTGGTCTGAGGCCTAGCTAACAACTGACAAAACATGGCTAATATAAAGCCAAACCAAGCTGTGAGCAAGAGGCAGGTCCCTCCTCACAGAGCTTGGCATGAACAGGGCTGAGAGAGCAAAACACTAATTGGTAATAGGCACAAATGTAGAACAGTAATTGGTACTGGTCATAAGTTGAAAGCACATGGTACCACCAACTCATTAAAAAAAATCCTTGGTACACACTCCCCACAGATACTGACCCAGGTTCAGGAAAGGGTCTAAAATGACAGCATGATGGATAGAGATGATCTAATGATCAACCCACGAGGTATAGGGTGATGGGTGGTATCTAAGAAGAGTTAGAGGGTGGTAACCTGACACGTCAGCAGTGATGTGTAATTTGTTTGTACCAGTGTATAAAGTGGTGTCTTGGGGGTACAGTCTTTGTCTAGCTGGGGGGCAGTGGGAGTTTCCCACTGTTGAGCCGTGGATGTAGCCTCATTGGTCATAGGCCTGGGGTAGAACAGTCACTGGGGCTGCTCATAAGTGGAAAGCACATGATACCACCGGCTCATTAAAAAAGACCCTGGTACCCACTCGCCACAGACACCGACCCAGGTTCAGGAAAGGGTCGAAAACGGCAGCCTGCTGGATAGAGAGGATCTCATGAAACCACGAGGTGCAGGGCGACGGGTGGTATCTAAGTAGTGTCAGAGGGTGGTAACCTGACACGTCAGGAATGACGTGGAAGTCGTTTGTACCTGTATCTACAGTGGTGTCTTGGGGCGGGGGGTACAGTCTTTGTCCAGCCGGGGGGCAGTGGGAGTTTCCCGCCGGTTGAGCTGAGGCCATGGTTGCAAGGACACGTGCGTAGCGATTCAGTTGAGTCTACTGACAACCATGACTGCGCTTCGCTTAATAAACCCGGCCAGGCACCTTCCATCCTCATCTAATTTGTAGTCTTTGGGGCCCTCTCAGGGTCTGCAGTGGTCACTGGGCCCACATCATCGAGCACACCCGCGAGCAGCCCTCGGGGTCTCACCATCGACAGAGCCAGAGACCTGTCGGGGCGCTGCGGCAGTAAATCCTCCTGACTACAGCGAAGTTGCTCTAACCTGGTAATTCCCAGAGGGCAACTGGACAAACCCAAGGAGCCTGAAAGCAACACGAAAAAGCCGCAATTGGGATGCACTTGGGTGCTTTCTTACTTGGTAGTCCACCAGGAGCTCTGGTCCTTTGAAGTACCTGGAGGCCACGCGGACGTTGTACTCCTGAGCGGGATGGTAGAACTCCGCCAAGCCCCAGTCTATGAGCCGCAACTACACACCAAGTCAAGAGAAACACACAGAGTAGGCGCAACGGGGCTTAGCTGCCACGTCCAAACCCGTGCGGTGACGCCGAGGCGGCCAAAGCCAGTTTCCAGCGGTTTGGTGAAAGCCCTTTGGGCAAGACTGTGGTACCGTCTGGGCTCTGCTTGCGCCTTGTGGATTTACCATGGCTCGGAGGGGTCTCTGCCTTGCCACCCTAATCAAATAACCTGGCGCTGGGCGACTCATCTCTTGCTCACGCCACCAGCCAGAGCAAGGCCGTCAGGAACCCATGACGTTAAACAAAAGCCAAAAACAGAGCTGGGCCTGTGAGGGTCACTGGTAGCTCTTCCCACTGTTAGAGTCGCTGGCTAGACCAATCTGCTAAAAAAATGTACCGGAGGGGGGCAGGGAGGAAGGTGTGATCTGTAGCATTAACCAAGAAGCTTTTGCTTATCGGTTAATCGACTCCACTGTTCCATCCCTCGTTCAGATGGCGTTCGGGTGCTGGACACCAGGGTTCTGACCCCACAGGCAAATGCCCAGGAAGGTGTTTTATCCCATGGAGTCACCCGTGCGTATCCTCTGCCATTTCTGACACGCATGAGGAGGCCACCGTACTGCGCACCGCAGGACTGGGCAGAGAAGCCCCAGGCTTTTGGTTAGGCCATCAGGCCAGCCCAGCAGCTGCGGTGACAAGAGGGTACCCACTGACTTCATTCACGTGCACTCAGACATGGCGTCTGAGACCGACATAGCTACAGCAGTGCGAGGGGGGCCAGTGGAGCTCAGTTACTCTAGGCCTCTGAAAACGCAGGGGTCTCACAGGTGAGCCAGGGCAGAGCCAATAGCCTCTACTCTTTGTGGGGAGGAAGAGGATTAATTGGGGAAAGGGGCTTCTATTTAGTAGGCTGAGAATACCAAACCAAAACCTAGAGAACTGGTAGATTTTATTCACTCCCCAGTCCCATAAGAAAGCAACACTCTGTCCTGGGACTATAACTTCACAGGCTCCAACAACAGGCACTTGCGTTCCCAATGGATAAAGTCAACGTGCTCTCCAGATGAGAGGATGTCAAAAGCAGAGGCACCAGAGTGAACAGAGGCAATCCCCTCCCAACCTTGACCAAGCCAGCACTAGGTCTCTGGAGAGCTCAGAGCAAAGGAGGCAGAAGGAAAGAGGGCTAAGCTCAGACAGACAATCCCCAAACCACGCGAGGTGCAAGGTAAGGATGTTAAGTAGCAAGTAATTCACTAATCGAATAGTCGGTGCATTTTTGAACTGCCCCCTTTGAAATGCCGCTGCCACAGAGCCTGGAATCAGCTGGGGACTCCATGGGTGGGTAGGGCGGCGCTGCTCCCTTTGAAATGCCGCTGCCACACAGAGCCTGGAATCAGCTGGGGACTCCATGGCTGACCCCAACCTCTACGCGGTGCTGCTGCTTTGAAACACCGCAGCGGCATTTCAAAGGGGTAGTGCTGTACAGCTGATCCCGGGCTCCGTGCGGCACTGCCGCTTTGAAACCCTCCGCCCTTTCTGCCTCTATCTGATAGAGGCAGCAAGGTGGGGGAGAGACAGCGACTAGTCGACTATCCAATAAGCATTTGCTTCTTGGGTGCCCCGCCCATCCTGGGTGCAGCCACCACCAGCTTCCCAAGGGATGGAGCTGGCACCCCTGGAACAATAAGGAGGATCCTGAAAGGAAGGATGGCAGGGGACTCCTCCAGTGGCATAATAGATACAGTATTTACTTCCGGAGCCAGAGGTTGAGGGCTCGAGCCCCGCCCGCCCATCCCCCGCAGAATGGAGCCAGCACCCCTGGAAGGAAGGGCTGGGGGAGCTCGTGGTGACCGAGGCGGCTGAGGCTTGGAGTCCCGCCCACCTGCATTTGCTCATCAGGTAGTCGACTAGTCCTCAAGCTCCCTACTGCAAGGGAGCCAACTCTGGAGAAACGAAGCAGCTGGGGCGGGAATAAGAAAGCCGCAGCCTAGATTACGGCTCTTGCAGTGGCAAAGTTTGAAGCGGCCCTGGAAGCTGGATAGCGTCACGCCCCAACGCAGCGGTACCTTTTTCTGTTGGTGGTCTATCATGACGTTGTGGGGCTTGACATCCCTGTGCATGATCCCCATGCTGTGACAGTAATCCAGGGCCTGGCAGAGACACAATACACGTTCACGTTAGACAAACCCATCAACAGGCAAAAAAAGCCCACGAGGTAGCAGACGGTTGTCCAGCCAATGACGTAGGTACGGCCAAACGAAGAGAATCCGTTGGCTTCAAGAGAGCACTGCACCTGAAGGACTATGAACGCCCATCACCCTCGTTTCGCTCACCATTTTGGGGGCAGCAGAAGAGGCATGTTGCTAGCTCAGAACTAGAGGCCTGCGCAGCTGCTGTTCTATACTAATGTGTCGTACAAGGCCCCAACTCCTAAATCTGTGCTGCCAGCACATACGTTCGAGCTCCAGAGCCAGCGAGACTGAGGTCCTATCGGATAAGTCCACAAGCACCTGCTGTGTCTGCTGTCCCTGCTGGCAGGAGAGGACCTCTCTGCATAGGCAGCCATTTCTATGAATTTGCTCAAAATTTCAGGGCCTTTGAGGACGGCTTTTCTTCTGAGCCTCCACCATTTGCTTGGATCTACCAATCATTTCTAGACAAAGACCACACGTGTCCCAGAGCGCAGTGACTGGAACACCATGGAAGGAATCAGGATGCAGCTCAAAGCATCGGGCACGCGAGCAGGGAGCACGCAGATCTGAGGACCTCGAGCGAGTTGCAGCTCCATGCAGCTGCTCTGTGTATATCGGGGGGGAAGTAGGCAGCTCTTCTACCTCAGAGGGATGGTGGCGAGACAGCTAGCAAGGCTGGCCAAGTGCTCGGAGAGCCCCACACGGAAAGCACTCAAGGACAATGCGTCCTCTTTTCGGCATCTGTGGAGCGTGTTCCTTATGCAGTTCCTGCCTTGTTCCTCTCACGTCTATGGACGCTTCTGAGCCAACTCAAGGCATCCTAGGAAAGCGATTTCCCTCCCAGACAGGCACAACCGTTGCCCGAAAGCACTGGGAACAGGCCGGGTAACCACTGGCGAGGAGACCCGTTCCAAGCTCGGACAGCCCCCTCTGGCGCCCCCAGCCAGCCTGGACATGGCAGCTTGACCGATCCAGTGGCCCTGCTGGGCACCAAGGCGGACAACTGCAGCTGCCTTGGCACAGGTCCCACACGACGGTGCCCAGGACTCAGAGAGAAGCGGAGATGCCTGGAGAGGCTCAGGCTGCTGCAGGAATTCTGCCTTCACCTCAGTGGGGCAGAACCCCACCCGGACTCTGGGGCCTTGAACCCTTCTCCCTGGGCACCACTCACCTTGAGCAGCTCGTACATGTAAAACCGGATATCGAAGTCGGTCAGGATCTGGTACAGTTGCTGAAACAGATTTGGGGAGTGAAAGAGAAGGGAAAATAAATATTTAGCTCCTGAGGGTTAGAGTCCAAACCAGCACCTCTTAGTTCCTAACCCCACTGCCCCGTACTGAAGCCGCATGCTCTCCTCGAAGGAGCCTGAACGCAAAGGGGGTGCCAGACGCCAGAGCAGGGTTACTCTGGTTAACAGGATACGCACCGGGAATAAGGGTGTGAAGAGGCGGGTAACTGGACAGCCGTGTTGTCGACACAATTTGTATCAACTACACGATCAGTCGCTAAGGGAAGGTGTTACCCTCGCTGCAGCTCTGCCGTTTACAGTAGTGGAGGCAGCCCGGCTCCTGCTACCTTTAAACTGCAGCACTGCAGCGGGGATAGCTCCTGGACCAGTTTGCTGGGACTGAGCCGGGCTTCCTCAGTCCCAGCTCATGCCGGGTCCAGCAGTCCCTGTCCGCGGGGAACTGGGACCCCACTGCAGATAGCAGCTGCTGCCAGCGGCCTCCTCTGTCCCTCACATGCTGCTGTTTCTGATAGACGCAGCAGCACGGGTATGGGGAGGCAGGTGGGATGGGGGAGATGGTGCTGGGGGGGAACCAGCTTTTAAGCTCCTGTTCCCCTCTCCCTTGCTGCCTCTGATATGAATAGTCGACTCGACCACACAATAAGCCTAGGCTTATCGGGTAGGCAACTAATCGACTCCTCTTTTACATCCTGAACTGGGAGGGGAGGGGAGCGCGCCTAGATTTCTACAGCGGGGAACATCAGCATCCCACAGCATCATCTCCGCCCCTTTGCTTCCTCTAGGTGGGGTGAGCCCCTAGAATCAGCAGAGAGCTGATGCTCCGGAGAATATCAGCTTCCGCATTTCCGTGTATCAAGCCTATGTTCACGCCTCCAGGAGGCCAGAGGGGCAGGAGAGAGTGATGTGGAAAGGAAAAGTCACCCCGAGACTCCATCGCAAGGGAGATCACGGCACTGAGTCTGCACTGGCCGTGGAAGTGATCTCCTGCCACCTCACTCTGGAATTAGTAATACTAGGGGAAGCATTTTGGGACGCCGGGTGCAATTCAAACCACAAGCCGCCCTGAGCAGTAGCACTGATCTGTCACCCAGTCACACGCAGGATGAGCCCCCCTTGGATCAGGACTCACACAGATTTAGCATTTCACTTGGTCTCCATCATCAGCACCCTCATGGGCCCGATTCTGTTCTTCTGCTCCCACCCTGGGGAAGAGGGAAGAACTCCTGCTCCCAGAGCCGCAGCGTGATGCTACAAAGCAGCCGCCGTGCGAAGAACGACATTCGCCCTGAGTTTTCTAGAGAACAGCAGGGCTTGGCTCCCCCCCCCCTTTTTTTAATAAACAAAAGTCTCCTCCAAGCCCAGTCAAATTGTTTGATTTCATTAACTTCAAAGCCAAGTGCTGGCTCAGGGCACTGCCTGGTCCTTTCAAGAAAACCCCACAGTAGAGATTTGAAATTCACACTCCAAGACACAAGAGAGGAGCCTGGATTCTTGACGGCTCTGGTGTCTGGTTAATGCTGCAGAGTGATGTAAACAAGTTACCGCCCATGCCCCAGGCATCCTCACCAACACACCCGGCTAGCCGTCACCATTCCAAAAGCTGCCTAATCATCCAACACGTACCAAGAACGTTTACAAGCCCAGGGACAATTCAGTGCCTCTTGGGGTGCAAACTCTGTTGTGTTTTAGTTTGGGTGAACTTAGCATTCAAGTGCAACACAGAGAAGCAGGAACAAGTCAGCTAAGATGAGAGCAAGAGCTACAGCAATAAGCTACAAAGGGTGTTTGTGTGTTCAGTGCCTACTGGGGCTTGCCCGAGAACCTTCTGCCCTCACCAAGAACACTAGCAGCCTCCTCAAGCATGCCTGGAGCAGATAATCGCTGGCAGAGCATGGCTCCTTCACCAGACAGTGGCTTGAGGTATCAGAGAAACCAGTGTGAAAAGTTTGAGTTTTTATCAAATTAATCTTTCTGTGAAAGACAGGCCATAATCCTCTTCACTAAGAGAGCACCCTGAATCTGTAGGTTTGGGAAAGCTGGTACAGAGCATCCTTCCCACTTTACAGATGGAAAACGAGAAACAAAGGCCTCAAACCTCAAAAATCCACAGGCAAGTAACTAGGGTTGCCAGATGGTTTAACCAAAAATACCGAACACCCCTCGCCCCCCCCCCGCGGAAAAAAAAATGTTGAGGGGAAAAAAAAAGGGGGGGGGGGGGGGATCAGAAAATACGGGACATTTTAGGTGTCTGGTATTTTTTGATTTTTTTTTTAACCAACCAGAAGCCAAAAATACCGAACACCCCTCGCCCCCCCCCCGCGGAAAAAAAAATGTTGAGGGGAAAAAAAAAGGGGGGGGGGGGGGGATCAGAAAATACGGGACATTTTAGGTGTCTGGTATTTTTTGATTTTTTTTTTAACCAACCAGAAGCCAAAAATACCGAACACCCCTCGCCCCCCCCCCGCGGAAAAAAAAATGTTGAGGGGAAAAAAAAAGGGGGGGGGGGGGGGGGGGATCAGAAAATACGGGACATTTTAGGTGTCTGGTATTTTTTGATTTTTTTTTTAACCAAACAGGAGCCAATAATACCGAACTGTCCAGGTCAATACCGGACACCTGGCAACCCTACAAGTAACTCCCATTACATTCACGAGGAGTCTGTTTCAGAGCAGGGGCTAGAACAAGTGTGGGCAATTTTCACAAAGGGGCCACTTACTGAATTTTGGTACATGGCCACGGGCTGGCTCCACCCCCTAGAAGGGGCAGGGTCTAGGGTGGAAGAGGCGGGGCTCGGGACTAGCCTCCTTCCCAGTTGCCTAGGACTGGAAGCTTTGAATTAAATACACAGCCAAAGGCTCGCGGCTCCCAGCCCTACTGCTGCTGTGTTGCCTGGCAGCTGCACGAGGTTGCTGTGGCCAGGGTTGTGCTGTGACCAGGAGTCAGAGGCATTTAAATAGGATCCTGCTTCCTGGAAATGCAGTGGTACGGGCAGCAGGATATCAACAGAAAGCGGCCAGATGCAATCCGCAGACCGGATCAAAGTGTTTGCTGGGCCGGATCTGGCCCATGCGCTGGATCCGGATCCTGGGCCACATCTTGTCCAGTCCTGGGAGTCGAGCAGCCTGCCTGCATTATCCAACACTCAGAGAAAGAGGAGGGGATAGCTATCCTGTCCTCACAGTCTACGGTCATATCCACCGTGGGTAGATATGTGATCCCAAGTGCTCCAAAAGTTATCTGAACAGAGCCCCTATGGATCCTGGATCTCTCTTCCTGATCTGCCGTGCATCTCTGCCATTGCTTCTTCTCAAAATACCTCTTCTAAGCATGGGATCTACTAGAAATAAGATCACAAAACCTGTGCAGTGCTGCTTGAAAGAGCCTCGATCTTTCCCTTTGAGGCAGGAGCCATTATAAGACCTATTTCTGGTACTACATGAATCAGTCAGCATTTGAAGGCTGTTGGGGGAGCACAGGAGATATATCAGCTGGTTTCATTTTTAGTTGGAAACCGAAAGACTAACGACCCTTTGCCTGTTTCATTTTGCCAGAAGGTCAAAAATTAAGGCAATCATTTAGGAGTAGCTTGTGACCTCTAAGATAAATTCTGTTCTACTGATGGTTAAGAGAAATATTGGCCACCTATTACGATGTAAATAGAGACTTTGTGTGTCATGGGAGAAAATAACAAGTATGGTTTTTCAGCTTTGGCTCGTTATGCACGTAAGCAGACAACTAAGCAGTTTAAGGTTATAATTTGACCCATTTAAAAAGGTACGGTAAAGTATTTAGCTACTTAAGGTATTTCTCAAACTGCCTAGCACCACTGTAGCCAAATATCATTTTAAATTCCTTTGATTTTAAAGTTTGAGTTACTAGATGAGGGAACTTCAATCGGAGTTTAGTTTAGGTAGGGCCTACAATGTTTTAGGGTCCACTCTTGTAAAGACAGGCCATGAGGCAGCCGAGGGAGTCCAAGCAGCGTGGTTCTCAGGATTATGGAGATACCATTGTGCTCCAAAGAGAGGAACATTTACCAAGTAGCATAATAAGCATTCCCATTAACCAAAAATGTAATTTTACTGAAAGCACAAGGGAAAGCATTTGCCAGAAAAGCAGATCGACACGAACAGATTCTAGCTTCAAAGAGGACATTACAAACGAGAGACCGATAAAAGCATAAGACTGTAAGTATCTGGCAGAGGCCCGCTGTCGTCAAAACAGTCACTTGGAACTAGCCTGAGAACCCTGACAAGGTTGTCATGGTGCTGCTGGGTGTACGAGTGATCACAGCAATTGCGAGTTCAAGCAGTCAGCATATGGAGCAATGCCACCAAAATGAGTAAGGCGACAATTCCCGTTCACGTGACTCAGTGCTTTACATTGAATGCTAGCAGAAGTAGGCTGCCAGGGGTAATTAGAAACATTGAGCATCGAAGGAAAGAAAAAAAAAAAAACTGAAACAAGTTGGCAGGCTTCCAGCTAGAAGTCTCCAGACATCTTATAAATAGGGTTCAAGGCAAGCCAGTGGGAACCGACACAAGGGTTCTTGGATCTGTTTTCACTCAACCTTCCAAGCATCTCACGCCTGTCTTAGTACGGAGACAGACAGACAGACTTTAAGGCTTTATTTTAAAAGGAGAGAGCCTCTCGTGTGGTTTTGCAGGCGCACGGGATGTGCATGTGTAACCCACACACCTAGTGTGGCTCACTGTCCCATGCAGTGGCACTTAGACCACAGCAACAGCTAAGAACAAGAGACCTCTACAGCATGGGCTGAGAGCCAGTGGGCTTTTAGTTCAGAGGGTAGCGGCTCCTATACTAAGCTCCAGAGGTCCCAGGTTCAAATCCACCTGGTGGTGGTTACACATGTAAATACCAAATCATAACACGAACCTACAAACTCAAAGAAGGCAGGTCCTAAAACAAGGCTGCAAATATGCTCTGCTTTCCTTTCGCATGGCGTAGACAGTTTTGCATATTTTCAGTGAAATTTTCCGGGTCCGTCTCATACCAATCAGTAGAAATCAGGCAGCAGGCTAAAGAATCTTTAGAACATGGGACTCATTTATGTCTTGGCGATCCTCAAGACTCAGGCTTTTATATTTGCCTTTTAATGCTCCATTTTAAAGCCATTTAATTTCTTATGATCTAATGAGCACAACTCAGCAATGCGCTTTCTGATGTCCTGTTCAGACAGGGCCTGGGTAACATTTCACAGTTTAGCATTCAACCACTAGGGGAAAAAAAAAAACCAACAATCCCAGTTCTTGGTCGGAACGACAGTTTGCTAGGAATGTGGCACACAGTCCATATCATACCACCAGGAGAGGCCTTTAAACTCTCCCCCCATTGTGCCCAGCTATCTTGACATTTAGAGCAGGATTTAGAGACTGCATTCTCTGGGAAGAACTGGGCTACAGTTTTCATGGGAGGACTGGAAGGGACCTGAAGAAGTCTTCCACTCCAGTTCGCTGCACTCAAGGCAGGGCTAAGTATGATCTAGACCAGGGGTCTCCAAACTAAGGCCCGGGGGCCGGATGCGGCCCGCGAGGCCCTCTCATCCGGCCCGTGGAGACCTTTTTGGATTCAAAGGCAGAAGAAGTGAGATTGTTTCAAAACGCATTTGAAGCAGATGTGGCCAGTTGCCCAGATGAACTGCAGCTGGAAGTCATTGAGTTGCAAGCAAATGACCTCCTTAGGGACAAGTTCAAAATAGGACTGGTGGGTTTTTACCAGTTTTTGCCCAAGGAAGACTTTCCTAATGTCAAAACTTTTGCATCAAGGTACCTTTCAATCTTTGGAACAACATACCTGTGTGAACAAACATTTTCAAGAATGAAATACGTGAAGAACAATTTGAGAACAAACTTGTCCGATGATAATCTCAGGTCACTGTTGATGTTAGGGACAACAAATCTAAAGCCAGAAATGTCTATTTTGGCATCCAGGAAACAATTTCACCATTCACACTAATACAGATGTTCATGTGTAGTGTATGAATGTGTTATTAAATAATAACTGAATAAAATAATATTAAATAAATAATTAAAAACAACATCCATGTTTTGATTGTTTTTTATTTGGACCTCAAGTGTGTAGTCGGCCCCCGAACTGCTGTTTGATAGTTAATGCGGCCCTCGGGCTGAAAAGTTTGGAGACCCCTGGCCTACATTAACCACCCTAGTTCGAACTAGGGAGAGGGTTGTGCATGGGAGAGGCTGCAGCATTGTGGGGGGGGAGGGAGACCATTCCAAAAAGGGATGCACTCTTCCACGATATTAATGGAAGAGGAGCAGGTTCTGAGATGAAGTTTGGATACAGAAAGGAGCTTGGGGTAAGGGATTGAGATGCAGGAGGGGGATGTGATCTGAAGAAGGGGTGTAGGAGGGGATGCAGGGTCTGGAAGGGGATATGGGTGGAAAAGCTGGGGTGTAGAGGGTTTGTTACATGGGGTAGGTCTACAGGAGAGGGGCAGAGTGTTGGGGGGTAGGGCAGGGCTGGGGTGCCAGTAGCACCTCCTACCAAGAGCCTGCCATCTGGGTTGCTCCCAGCCAGCAACCCAGCTGGTTCCTCAGCCAGGGTCCCTGCCTTCCATGCCCTTTCACCAGCAGCAGGGGCCACATGTGGCTCTGAATGCTGCGTGCCCGGAGGGGGCACGCTGCCTGTCTTGCAAAGAGGCAGCTCTCATTGGCCGGTTTCCGGTCAATGGGAACTGCAAGATTTTGCTGGGAGCAGGGCAGTGTGTGACGCCTCTCCTGCCCTCCTCCACGCTCACACTGTCCAGAGAGGTGCTCTGATTAGCGTGCAGGGGCCGAGCAGGCAGGGAGCCTGGCAGAGTCCGTATTTTGCCTGCTCTTAATCTAGACCATCTCTGGACTGGTTTAGTCTTGAGTTGAGTTAAACCTAATCTCTCCCCCCATGCTACACGGGCTGTGGAATGGAGAACCAAGTCACTGCAGTGTAGTAGGGCCATATGCCTGGCTTTGGATGTGTGTGCTGAGAGATCATTAGCATGCCTGGGGCTTTTGGGGATAGCACGAATGAATCCTTGTTAAAAACAATTGGATCTGCCATCCTAGAACACAGCGCTCTCATGGTTTGTTAAAAATAGGTAAAGAAAATGTACCAAGTGCTTTAAACAGGTTCCCAGTCACTCATCTAAATGGCTACGGCTGGGGGGCCAAATGCCTAGAGGCAGACTGCGTGGCACGCACAGAAGCCCATAGCTCAGATCAGTACGCGCTGTTTGCACAATTCAGCTGATTCAAATGAAACCCCAGCAAATCAAGGTCCTTTTAATTAGCCCAGACGGTCACTCAATAACTGTGCTCGTGTTGCCATTACTCTAATGGGGTGATGCTCACACCCCACAAACACTGTCAGGACCGAGTCTCCTGCACGTTACTATGTTCAAATCTCCACATAGCGTAAATAACGTCCCAAATGCTGCAGCCAGATTAATTGCATGCACTGGCTGCGGTCAGCTCTTTCCAGGAGCACTTGACTCACCCCACGGACTCCGATGGGACGGAAGCCAGGCATGCAGTCTTGGACCGCAAGGCCTAGAGGCCTTGCAGGTCTTTCCCAAGGCCAATCCTTTCGCCTTCCGGTGCGTGTTCAGTAACTGAGGCCAAAGGAGCTAGCTCAGGGGTAGCCAACCTGTTCCAGCTGAAGAGCCAACATCCAGGTGGATCCAGCGCGAAGAGCCGGGGCAAAAAGTTGTAGAGCAAAAAAAAAAAAAAAAAGGGGGGGGGGGGGGACACACTGGCCCTTTAAGAAGGCTTTTTGGCCTCAGCAGGCTCCCGTCGGCAACCACGGCCCCCATATTGGATCCGCCACTTTGATCTGGATAGCTCCCCTGCCCCCTGTGAGCATGGGGGAGCCGGGAGGCATGGGCTGTGTTCAGGGAGTGCGGGGGAGGCTTCGTGAGACGCACTAACCGGGAGAAGAGCCGCATGTGGCTTGCAAGCCGCAGGCTGGCTACGCCTAAGCTAGCTAGTCCCATCTTGAGAGAAATGGTTCCCATGGCTGGGTTAGCAACCTTCCTGGAAAACCATAGGTTTGCAACGCTGTGTGGGGAGCATATTCTCCAAGCTCCAAACTTCGGGAGTTTCTTCTGTTCTCTCCTCCTTTACCCTAGACTCTAGCAACTCCACCTCGGCGAGGCCTTGAATCTGAGCCCTTTTGGGACTCTCCTGGAGTCCACAGAAATTCACTAAACAGCAACGGGAAGCAATGATATTTAAGAACCTTGGTACATTGCAAAACGGGAAGCAATGTACCAAGGTACATCTTAGGCACCAAAGATATTTAAGAACCGAAAGTTACACAGAAGTGCCTAGTGGAATTTTCTAAAGCACCTTGGTACGTAACTCCCATTGATTTAAATGGGAGCTCGTTAGAGGTCTATGTATCCTAAGAACATCAGAACGGCCATATCGGGTCAGACCAAAGGTCCATCTAGCCGAGAGTCCTGTCTGCTCACAGTGGCCAATGCCAGATGCCCCAGAGGAAGTGAACCGAACAGGTAATCCTCACGTGATCCCTCCCCTGTCTCCCACTTCCAGAAAAACAGAGGCTAGGGACACCATTCCTACCCATCCTGGCTAATAGCCATTGATGGACCTAACCTCCATGAATCTACCTAGCTCTTTTCTGAACCCTGTTAAAGTCCTAGCCTTCACTGCATCCTCTGGCAAGGAGTTCCAGAGGTTGACTGTGCGCTGAATGAAGGAAAACTTCCTTTTGTTTGTTTTAAACCTGCTACCTATTAACCTTTATCCTCTGCCACCTTAAAATCTGGCCCGTGCCGACCTGGGATTGAAGGACCAAGCTCTGTCCTTAACAGCTCCATGATACTCCTTGTACATTTACTGCGTACTTTGAGGTCTAAGTCCTAAGACACAAGGATCTCCCAACAGTTCCCACGCTCAGACACCTTATCTGACACCACCGTATTTTCCTAGTGATGGGAGTTAAGGAAATGCCTCGCAGATCTACGGGGGGATAACGGAAGGCTGCTGAATCAATTATGAATGACGGTCACTCAAAGGCCACTTGGACGCACACGCACCTGGGGCATGTAGGAATAACCACACCTACTTCAGAAGATTACAAACTACAATACACTTTTGCAGATAGTGGGGGGAATACTATTACAGTAGTCAATAGGCTCACCAGCTTA